ATGGAGGCAGAATCCGTCAGTGACGAGGATATAATCTGTGCATGCATCGTGGTCTCGCATGACTCGTGCGATGACGGTGGTGACAAATAGACTTTACACAGCAGTATCACCGGGTCGTGTGTGTGAAGCTGAATGCCAAGTTGCAGCAGTTGAACAGTTCGCCGAGCCCAGTCGGCCAACGGCATCGCAGAGTGTCCGGCCCAAAATTCGATCGATGGCAAACGCAGCATCTTATGACAAAAGGCAGCAGGAGGCATTCACCCCGTGTCACGGATTCAGGGTCTCGGCTCTCCAACTGCAAGCAGCTTGATGAAGTTTCCGCCCCTGGAGGGCTGCTTCCAGAAGCACTGGTACCATCGAGTCCCCCGGCAGCCGGGAGTCATTGCGTGGGACACCCAGCTGAAGGTTTCTGCAAGTGTCCGTAAATTGGACCTCCTTTAGTGGAGTGCTCGGGTGCAGCCGCAATGAGCCCGGGAATTGTTGAATCAGTTTCGGAGCTGTTGCAGAGGACTGCACGGTCACATCGGCGCGGGGGGATGCTTGCTAGGCTAGGATGAGCTTTGAAAAGACATTAAACTACCAGTAGAACCCCCTCAATCAGAACAACCACATCATGGGTTTTGGGCTTTTAACCTCTGCGCGGAAGGCCTCGGATCAATCTCACTTGGCGCACCATCACCTGCCATTCCGTGCCACGGCCATGATTCAGCCGGGGCTCCTCGGTCGGGTCCATAGTTCTGGGGCTTAGTCTCTTCACACCGGAAGCGACATGATCGTCGCGAAGTGTGGAAGACGTGCTTTCAACTACCTACCCCCGGCCCCCGCCCATGTGCAGCCCTTTCAGATGCAGGCCTGTTCCATGTGCAAGGCCCCGAACCGTGGTACAGCACGTCCGTTCTTCCTCTCTTCAGCAGGGATGCTTGCAGTTAAGAGTTACGTGTGCTTGAAGCTACTCGCGAGGCAGGCTGTGCGATGCACGTGGCTGCATGACTCAAGCCCGGGTCAGCGGCATCGTGCACAAGGTCGCTCTGCATGCTGTGGCACAGAGAGGGGTAGCGAGACCGGTAATTCCACCAGCCTTTGCCAGGCCTTCTCTGACCTCCTCGCAGTGGCACATCTGGCACCCTGTGGAGTTCGGAAGTGGGAAGCGTGGCATCGCAATGGCATAGAAGTCCATTTGAAGATGTCACGAAAAGCGCTTGACGTCGCGGAGTTGTCGCGAGACGGAACATGGGTTGAAGGATCTTCCTTGGTCACATCTGGCGCCGGCCACCTGGTGGAAGTTTGGAGCTTTTCCCAGATCTGGCGGCTCACGCCAAAGACGGCTGTGGGAAGACGTTGGATGGGCATGCCGGAGCTGCAAAAGGAGCACGGCGACTTGATGAGAACGTTGACAAACAACTGTACTTGATGATCTTCACCGGCAGATCCTCCTGTTGTTCTCTGCTTGAATTGGCAGCCTCGTCCGTGACCCATACAAGAAGCACCTCCGCAGGTTTTGACGACGCTGAAAAGAACGAGTGTGCCCCTTGACTCATGACTCATGACTCATGCAGTCGATGAATAGAGAAGAGCCGTAACGAGCACTGCCACCATGCATCGAGTCGTTGAATGGACCATGTGAAGGCTGTATGACCTTTCTGGCTTAGTGCCTGCCATTGGGTAGTTTTACGTTGGCGGCCTCCATTGCCAGATCGTTTGACTGCACTCTACCCTCGCAGGCACCTTCGCATCTGACATGCCCTAAAGACAGATCATAAGGTAAAAGTGGTTAAAGGCGGTCGCCTCAAGTGCTGTAAGGCCTTCCATCGCCCCTTCACGGTTCCAGTCCGTCGCCATGGAAGTGCAGCGACATTTGCGCCTCGTGCCCGAGGCTTGCTCGGCGTTGATGTTGTTGTCTTGAAGACCAGGCAACAAGCCCTAACCCTCCAGGTACCTGCTATATAGGGTTCTAGGGGCTGTAGTACCCTATTTCGTAGGTACCTGGGGGGTTAGGGCAAGCCCGGAAAAGTAGCTAATATTGCCAACACATCAGTCAGAACCTGGGGACAACATTCCACTACCTTTTGACTGGCGCTCATGTTTTTCCCCAACTGACTGCCGGCCCTCCATGCACGTCAGGGAGTAAGGGTGCGGAGTAGGGGGAGATCGAAGGGCTCTCTGATGACTCCGCAGTGGTGTTTTGTTACGTTGTGTCCGCTCTGTGTGCTGATTGAATCGGGGTAGCCTTGCTTTTTCCAAAGGCCTACAGGCCTCCACTCGGGTAGTTCTCTAAAACAGGGTCCCTTTTCAGGTCCGATTTATAAGGTTGGGGACCTGTAGAAAAAGGGACCCTAACAGGGAGAACTATCCACTCTATGACCCGAAGCCCGAGACATGGACCCTGAAGCGAGTCCTCAGCAGGGTGCCGTGATACCGATGGTGGCTTTTTTGGCGAGGAAGAAGCTCGCCAAGCAACAGGCCGAGACTGGGTTGGTTCATGTGGAACCGTTGTTTAGGGTTTAGGGTTTTGTGTTTGTATCGGTGGTATTTCTGTGTTCAGGAGTGCAGAGGCATGACAATCTCACGGCCTGTAATGGGTGTTGAGGGCCTGCAAGAGATCAGTGACGGGCCAAAGGTACACAGCACGACTCACCCACTACCCCAAAAGCAAGATTACTGGCGAATGTATGGCACAAGACGTCGAGGCGGAAGCAAGAGAAGTACACTGTCACAATGTAATAATATATCACGATAAAGCTGTTGTTCTCGTGTGATATGAGAATACCACATAATACAACGTACAGCAGCATAGTATAGCATAATGAAATACAGTGCACTACAGTACATTATAATTATACAGTTGAGTATGCTATAGTATAATAGAAATGGATATGAGACAATACAGCAACATACGATATAATGCAACATAATACAGTATCGTATAATGTGGTATAATTCAATACAATGCAATACAATGTAATACAATTTAACATAACATGTTCTGACATAATCTAACACAACATAACATAGTGTAATAGGACATAATACAGTACAGTACAACGCATTACGATGCAACGCATATGCAGACGTGTATGTATATAATATATGTATACATATATATGCATATATACGTGTTTGTACATACATTGGTGTGCATATGCTGTTCAATGCACATATTTATATAGAATCTAACACAACATAACATAATCTGATATAATTTCATTTGATGTCATACCCTGCAGTACCATACCACACCATAAAGTTAAAGTCATTTTATATGACCTTATATGATATACTGCAATGTTATATGTTATAAAGCAAAAGAATCTAATATGCTGAGAACCCAGTTTACTGCAGTTTAATACAACAAAAAACCGTTGTTGTGTTTTGCGCAAGATATCACATAACATGAAGAACATAATACCACCTGAAGTAATTAACATCATTTAGTGTAATTTATGATAGTATAACAATATGTGTTGGAATAGTGTAATAAAATACAGTACAATACAATATATAATATGGTATAATGTAACAGAACTTAATACAATACAATATATACGAATAGAAGCAGAATAGAATAGACTGATATTATATATAATAACATAATATTTTATTACCATTTTATCGTACAATTTACTACAATATGCAACCTAACATAACATAACATGATACAGTTGTTTATACTGCGAAATAGTGTGTGATGCAACACCTCATAGCACAGTAGCGCACATTACAAAACAATCTACAGTATGATTCAACACAGCACAATATACAGCAGTAAAATGTAATACAGTACATCCTAATTTAATGGGAAATACTACATTACACTAAACCATGATACACTCTTGTAGAACCCTGACCCCCCAGGTACCTACTATATAGGGTACTAGAGCCCCTAGGGCCCTATATAGTAGGTACCTGGGGGGTTAGGGGAAGCCAAGACAAGATAAATCCATGATGGTACACGAACCAAGCAGCCTCACGGTTTCCAGGCTCCCATCGCTCTAACTTCTTAGCGTTGTGCCACAGGGCCTCACATATGTTAGGAAGCAGAGCGGAGTGGTGAACTGATTCATTAGGTTTTGCTGGCAACCTTAGACCTATGACATATCGCAAGACAGTACATTACAATATACTATATTGACTGCTAGACTATAATATATACTACGAAATATGCTAGTCTAATTTTAAACGCATCGCGTCGTCCGCCTCGGCCCGGCCGCAAACAAACAGGGCCAACGAACTGCTGATGCCAATTTACTGCAGCTCACTGTCGTACGGAAAGACTGAAGGGATGGGATGAGAGACAAAAACCAAAAGAGAAGGAGGCGAGGAAAAAATGGACGGCGGAGGAAAGAGACGAGGCAAAAAAACCAATTAAAGTGGAAAGCAGGCTCGAGTTTGAAAACGGGCAGGAAATGAAAACAAATGGGCCTGTGCTTTGTGTCGAGGACCTCAGGCTTGCAGCGCATCGACGGCTGCCGCTCCCAGCCATTGCAAGCAAGAAAAAAAGCAAGAATGGCGGAAAGGCGGAAGCAACAATGGAGGGAAAGCGAAGCGAACGGGTGGGGGAAGGAACGCGCGCACGGGGAAGGGGGTTAGGCGCGGGGGTCGGGACGGGTGGGGCGGAGCCGCGCTGCCCATTTATGGGTTCAGAGGAACGAACCCCCTGCCTCGCCCTCCACGAGAGGTGGGGGTCACTGAGAAGAGGAGCAAGAGGTGGGGAATAGAGGGAATCCGAATAGGAACCTCTGACAGCTTCGGCCAGGCGAATTTAGCATAGTGGCTGTGCTCAAACTGCCAGGTATCGCTCTTCCGGCGCCGTGAGGCTATGTCCTGGGACTTGAGCCTCGAGGAGAGGACGCCAAAGGAGCGGAGAATGGTTCCGGCCCCCGAGACTGGAAGTTGAGTGACCATTTGGCGTGAGAGACCTCGTTGAAGTCTTCAAGAGATCCCTGATCAAGGCCATAAGTCATAAGTGGCCGCCACTCTCAAACTCAAGAGTTGGGAAGCGTAAGGCATCCAAGTTACCGACCACTCTGGTGTTGTAGGGTAGCCAAGCGCCTCGTCAGCTAATCACTGACGGACGTCCCCAGTCTCTCAAAGACGCATGCGCGGGCACAAGCGCCTTCCAACCTTGGAGACCGCCGCTCGCTTGGCTTCGGCCCGCATTCGAGAGACAGTTGCGACCATCCCGCAGAGGTGCTTCGCCAGGATTTCGGATGGGAAGTCAGGAACTTCCACCGGTTCAGAGAACATTCTGGTTTGGTCTATGCCACGCTGGCATACCTTTATACTTCGGGGGCTGAGAAGTCTCCGCAGGTTTCACAGCACATACCGCACAAACCGCGCAGGCCGTGCTCGAAGGCTGCAGGTGTAAATCTCTTTGGCCGCTTGTCAAGGCTTGAAACTCCGTGGGTGGGAGCTTCTCCGACCAGCGCCTCCTTGCACGGCATGTTGTGTGTTTCGAGACAGCTCAACACGAAAGCCATGCACAGCTCACGGCCTCAATCTCGAATTCTGTGTGCTGGGGCGAGGCTGAATCCTTAAGCCCAAGGCCTTCAACCTGAAAACCTAGACGGATAGGACAAGGGCCAAATTCTCGTAGGCGGCGTCAACGCAGGTGTCGGAAGTGTCAGGGCAGTATCACACCGTTGCACCTCGCATGCATGCTAAAGACATCGGCGGGGTTCCTCCGCAGACATTGCTCGCGTTGACGTGCAGAGCTCACGCAATCCGGGTCACTTCTTGAGCTTTTGACCTGACACCATACCTGACACCAACTACCCCAGGCCCTAAACCCCAAATCAGCACTGGCCATCGCAAAGGCCCGCTTGCTCAAGAGTGTGCTGCAGAAGGTGCCATTCCTGCCCAACGAGGGCGTTTGACCTTCTGCGATCTTCCTCTCTAAGGACAAGATGTCCGTGGCAAAGCTCACGTTTCCAGGGAGTTTGTCCCCTCCGGCCCGCTGTAAGGACGGCTGGAGCTCGTGTGACGCTGTGACGGGTCCAGACAGCGCACGTGGCGTCAACATCAGAAGTGCAGCGAGGGTGGAGGGCAGGGCTTAGGGCTTAGGGGCTTTTCGGGGCTTTTCGGGGCTTTTAGGGGCTTTTAGGGGCTTTTGGCTTCGGGCCTTAGAGGATCTTAGAGGCTTCTGTGTGGCATGAGTCCACCGTTCAGTCGGCGCCTTGATTCTTGCTACATGCATAGAAACAGCTATAAATGGGCCTTCTTTAGGTACTTCCACATGGCAAGCAGAGTTTGTAAGTTGCATTACGAGGAGCAGTATTGAATTGACGAGTCGGCAGTGTTGAATTTGACTATAACACATGGTTCCTGAGTGACCTGTCTTCTCATAGACTGCGGTACAGATTTGTTGACGAATGTCGACTTGCAGCGCGGCGAACTTGTCCGAAGTTGTGCCAG